GGGCTACAGCCGTAGCAACCACCTGTTTCAGGATAGATCAAGTTCCTGCAAGGAAAGGCTGAGTTTGATTGACCAGGGGAAACCCAAGCAGTTTTCTAAGCAGCAAAATAGAGCAGGAATTGTGGGAGTTGTGGCAGATGCACAAAGGGAAAACTCTAGTATCCTGAAAACACAGAGAGAGGGGGAAAGTTCACAACCCTCCATTAAGAAGCTCTGATGTAATCTGTCCCACTTCTTCTGCCTTTTAAATTTTAAACAATTTCTTGCTTACGAGTGGCACAACCAACTTTATTAAGTTAGCAACTGCTCATTCCAGAATTTACCATAGAAAATTGGTTTGTATCTCTTAGTGGGAGAATTAAGAGGAAGTCGCTCCTGGACTACCAAATGAACAGATAGACTCTTATATTTCTGGATTGTGAATTTTCTGTGTAGATAAAGATACTTGGAGGAATTTCTGAAAAATGCACTTATTTGTATATATTTTATTTGTTTAATGTATAATCTGTAACTCTATTTGGAAACTTAAAGCAAAGAGACTGCAGGAAGCTCTCCTTCATGTTAAAATGCTTGCAAATCACCCCAATTATTAATGTCTACGGTCACCAAAAGATTTTTTTCTTCTTCTGATGTTGAAAAGGAAATGCACAAGAGAGTTTACACACACAGCCACACACCATGATTTATGTTTTCAGGATTTTAATATTTCCTGCTCTTTAAAAAAATAAAAAAGAGATGTTCACCTGCAAAGACAATTTTTAAAAATGGCCCCAATCTGTGCATTTCAAAATTCAGCTAAGAGTTTGTTGGGAATTGATTTCTATGCTAAACCCTTTCCTTCTTTCACATTAAGCTGGTAAAATCAGAGGGTTAGCAACAGACCTAGTGGAATCAGCTGATTCTAAATTGGAGCTGAAATATTTTGTTTGGAAGTTGGCTTTAAGGAGAGGTCTTGTGTTAATTTGCCACAGTTAATTTGCCTCCCCCCCCTCTAAATTGAGGGCAGGCAGCATGATTTGTGGTAAAATCCCGGACCATTCAAAATTAATCCTATCTGGTACAATGGTCTGAGATCTTTCTCAGCCTTTTAGCCATAAAGTTCTTTCTTTCAGCATCACGGTGCCTGACTAATGTTATAAAATACTCCAGATCAGAGTTTGGAGAATTCTGGTTGTTGGCTGTGGATGAAGGGATGTGAAGTCCACGTATCTTAAAGTTGCAGAGGTTGAGAAATACTGCTCTAAATGACTAATGAATAAATGGCCTCAAAATTTTAGCAGCGTCCATATCCACAGAGTCTTAGTCAGAAATCCATCTTGAACACCCCCCTCCAATGTAAAGACAGTGGAAATTGTTTCCTACTCCATATAGGAACTGAGACCTGGTTTTATTAAATCAACTGGTTAATATTAAGCAGTATTTTCCCTTTCCCTCTTTTCCTTAGGAAAGATGCCACAGATTACAAAGGCTCTTATAGGACTGGTTGCTTCTCTGATTTAAAGAATCCCGAAGCATATTTTAAGAAGGCCAAAATCTCAGATGATTTGGATCATTAAGGCCACTACATTCGTGGGTCCATTTGACTGGAAATAAGACCCATTTATTTTTCAATGCAGTTCACTTCGGAGTAGAAAGATTGAGACTCCAGCTTTTTAAACTTTTAAGATTGGAAGAAGATGCGATCTTTACTACACAATTGCCACAGTTTCCTCAAGGAACATTTAGTTGGGAGTAAATACAGTTCAGCTCAATGGGATTTGCAATGAAACAAGATTAAGATTGCCCACATTGTACTCTGAACGGATTGCATTTGTTCTGTGTACCATAACAAAACAAGAATTTGATGGGTTTTATAATCACAGGTTGGCCATAAAGGCAAGAAGCTGTGGTTTTGTACCATCACAATGGAAACTAGAGTGCTAGTGTCAAGGTCTTTTTCATTAAGAGGGGTTAGTTATCATCTCTTCCACTTTGGAGTTGTTCTAGTCTGTTTAGAGAAGGGATAAGAGAAATATAAGACAAATATAAGACTTTTATGTGGCATTTCTAATGTATTTTAAACATGCAAGTGGAGAGTGCCAGTTTGATGTATTGGTTAAGGCATCAGGTTAGAAACTGGGAGACTGTGACTTCTAGTCCCAGCTTAGGTACAAAGCCTGCTGAGCGACCTTGGGCCAATGTTATAGTTGCAACTATAGCAGTCCTTTCGTAAAAAACATGTTGTTTTAACTCTCTCTCCCTCTCTCTCTCTCTCTCTCTCCCTCCCTCCCTCCCTCCCTCCCTCCCTCCCCCCCCCCTCTCTGTCCCCCTTTTCCACAACGGGGACAAGTGTTTTAGAGAATTGTGGACCAAGGTGACTCAGATAAACCCAGCTACGTCCTATTGAAAACACTTGCTGTAGTGGTGGCCAAGAGGATGGTGATGGGTGACTGTTGTGGGGCGGCAGGGTGATATCTGGCAGGGTGAAGAAAGGAGACCGGAGAAGAACTGTGATCCGCTGGCAGGTGTTAGAAAGCTAAGGCTGCTTAGGAAGAGAGGAATTTCTCGCCTGTTTCCAAGTGGGAAGGTACGGCCCAAACTCTCTTAAGCAGAAGAGAAACGAAGTAAAGTAATGAACAGGGGTCCCGGGTTTGGGGAGGTTGCTTTAAGGAGAGACCCGGAGCCCTGAGGCGGGGGAGTGGGGATGCCATTCACCTCTGCCCATTCAAAGCCGCCAAGTGCCCCGCCAAGTGCCTGGCTTTGGTTTGCCGATCCAGCGGAAAGGGTGGCTGAAAGCAGCTGCTTAGAAAAACAACCCTCGCTTCCCTGGAAAAAAAAAAGTGCCGGACTTTGGAGGTCGTACAAATAGACCTGTCCTACTTTCTAATTCCTTTATGTCCAATAATATCCTGCTTGTGATTTACAGCGTCGCCCGGCCATTTCTACGGCAATATATCAGCAATGAAGCCTTGGCTTTTGATGGGGATCTTTACCAAATCCAGTTCCTTTGCCAACCATGCAGGGGAGTGCGCCTATAATTGTTGTTCACTTAAAAGTCAGCTCTTATTTAAAGCCTCACATTTGTACATTTCTTGAGAATAAGGAAACGAACATTGCTTTTTCCACTAGATTTTCACATTGGCCCTCGGATTATCTACATACAAATTCATACTTATACTGATATTAGAAGCACGTTTCAGTAAATAGAATTCAGACCAATCTTGCCCATCCCTGCCCATCATTAAATTCGACGTTTCTTATTCCAAATTGTAAACTACCTTTGGATCTAAACTACGGGGTCGATTTGGTTTCAAGGAAAGGTAATCAATCATTTCTGTGGGCATTTAGATCCTCGGAATTTTTACTTAGAAGCAATGCCCCATCCTTTAGATTTGCCTGTTCTAATGCTCAATATGGTTAAATACACCATTCGGAGGGAATGAGGCTCCAATCTTATTCCCAGTGCAATCCAGAATAAATCTGATTAAATCTTGCTTATGCCCAACTAAAACTGTAAAGAATTGGGCTGTTCCTTTGTCTGCTTCCTTGCCCTGTTCGGCTCTATACGACCCAGAAATGGGAAGCTGAATAGAATGGATTTGCATTTCAAGGATCTCATGCAATGTTATACAGACAGGATATATATGCTAGCAAAATATTAGGCAAGCAAATCATATTTTAAAATTTAGGTCGCTGTCAGGAACTTTTATGAATATGAGTCTGGGTCGTTTTGGAAGTTTTCCTCCCCCCCTTTTCCCCCTCCCTCTTGAGTCTGGCAGAATAGTTACTTGGTGGGGGAAAAATGAAGCTGAGCCTACAGATCTATTGCAAGGATTAGCCTTTCTTTCCTCAGACACTTTACACACCTCCGCGGGGCTTTCTTCTCGACTGGGCCAAGTCTAATGTTAATCCTTTACCACCTCTTTTCCCTACTCACCTCATGGGAATGCAGAGGAAATATATTGCATATTCCAAGGGAGATTTTTTTTGGGGGGGGGGGCATCTGGTTACATTCTTTGTACTTCAAAAGACACTACTGATTCTAACTTTTCACCATACCTACACAACAGGCCTAAGAGTGATTTCAGCAAAGGGACACTCATAAGCTGTTTCTTTTTCCAAAAAAAGAAAAAAAAAGATTGTGTGGTTCCTAATACCCTATTTAACTAATGTGGAAACGTTAATACATTTTGTGGTCTTGAAGCTTAAGGAAATTACTCCACAAGATTTCTCTGATTTTTGAAACGACTACTGACAATGTTAAATGCAACCGCAAACCAGTGTATCCATAGGTAGTCCGCTCATGGCTACTTTCTTCCTATAGAAGAGGTGGTCGCTTACCTTTCTCCATCAGCTGTCAGAAATGCTTACCTCAAAGGCCTTTACCTAAACCCACCTTTACCTGCCCCTGAAACACCTTTTTCCAAAAAATAACTGGGGAAACATTTGGATTCTGCCATCCTACTAAAGGTTAAAGAAACGGGGGGGGGGGGGGGGGGGGGGAAGTAATGGCAAAGCAGAACTTTTTGTCTCAACTGAAGACTTTTGAGACCGCAGACAAACAGGCGAGCGCGAGCACACACACACACACTCACACAGAGCCGAAGTGAAGCCTCACTTCGATGCCCTGGGTTCCCTCTAAGGGGTTTTAACCCGGTTGGCAGGATCGGTCGACCTTCTGAATTGTCAGAGCAGAGATCTCCAAAACTGGGCAACTTTAAGACTTGTGGACTTCAATTCTGGGAATTGAAGTCCACAAGTCTTAAAGTTGCCCAGTTTAGGGACCCCCTGCATTAGACGGTGAATTCTGACACCCTTCGTTCTCTGGCACACGCCCCCGTAGTAGGAACGTTTGGCCGGACAAGCGGACTAGAAGGAGTCTGAGGCCGACAGGGCCATTTTGCCCAAGTGGCAAAGGGACCATCCGGGTGAGGGTGGGAGCGTCTGAATAGCCTGCCCATCTCAAGGCGTGAGGGCGTGGGGGGGGGGCATTTCTCTTGCCCGCGTTTCCCGCCACTCACCTTCCGGGAAGACCGCTCTCATTTTCAGGTAGCTGGTGGTGAGGCGGATGACGGAGGCCTTGTCCAGCTGGGAGGTGATGGCCGAAGGCAGAGGCAGCAACTTGGCCAGCTCGTAGAATTCGCCGTTCTCTTTTTCCCGCCGCGTCTTGGCGGCGTTCTTCGACTTCTCCTTCATGGCGGCTCCGGCGGGGCGTCACTGGCATAATAGAGCCCCTCCGGGCGGAGGCGACAGCGGCGATACCGGAGGGCTGACAGGCATGTGTGGACTTTGGCTCGGGTTCACGGAGAGCCGGCCAGCCAGCCAGCCAACGAGCGAGCGAGCGAGCAACTGAGGGAGGGATGGAGGGGCAGGTCCGGCTCCGGACAAGCGACGGTGGGGCTGGCTTAGCTTGGGGGCCTCCTAACCACGAAGCAACAGCTCTGAATTCGACTGTCCGTTGCAGTGGGTCGGCGGGATCCTCGCCTTCGTCTCTCTCTCTCCCTGCCTACTCTTGTCTAACACTTTTGGCTGTCGCCGGGGAAAGGGACAAGGGGAGTCGCCCTGGAGTCTCTCCTCTCCTCTCCTCTCCTCCCTCCCCTCTCTTCCTCTCCTCCCCTCCCCTCCTTCTCCCCTCCTTCTCTCTCCTCTCTCTCCCCCTTCCCTCCTCCCGTCCTCCCCTCCCCTCCCCTCCTCCTCTCTCCCCTCCCCTCCCCTCCTCCCCTCCTCCTCCCCTCCCTTACTTCTCCCCTCCCCTCCCCTCCTCCTCTCCTCCTCCTCCCCCCCTCCTCGCCCCCCAATTCAGCTTTGGATCCGGACCCAGATCAGAAAGCAAACTGCAAAACCGAAGCTTAAATCCCGCGCAATGGTCCCAGACACTACGCCTCCCCCCCCCCCCCCCCCCCCCCCCACCCAGAGCTCCTCTGATTCCGACAATTGGCCAGCTGGCTGTGCTCCGTCTCCCCTCCCTGCACAAGTGGCGGCTTGCCGGGTTTCTTTTGGACCTTTTCGGGGCCAAACTGATTGACGCCCCACCCACCTCCGGGCGGGCAAATCCGAAACTCCCGAGGGAGGAGCCGGTTTTCCGAAGGCCGCTCCCACGGGGTGGGTGGGGGGGGGGATGCTGAGCGTTTCCTTCCACTGCAGGATCCGAGGCAACTCCAGCATCCACTGAGGAGCGCTTCTACTCAGCTTCCCAAGTCAAGGGAGGAGAGGTGCGGCAGCCAAATCCGCTTCCCCCACCCCCGGCTTGGTCTCCGGTCCCCGGCCTGGCGGTCAAAAGGCCCGGTTCCAGCGATTCCCCTTCAGAACAACTCCTCCTCCTCCTCCGCTGGCTGGCTGTAGCTGGTAAAGAAGCTCCCAAGCGGCTGACTCTTCAGCTCATTCCCCGCGGCAGGTTGGAAGGGAGGGGAAGGGAAGGGGAGGACGCCTCTCGTGACGTGAGTCTCCGCCAAAGGCAGCAGCCGTAGCGGGAGCCCCGCCGCTGCCACTGCCTTCGCCCGTTCACCAGCCGGAGAAGGGGAAGGGGTGGGAGTAGAGGGAAAGAAAAGGGAGGGGCTCCTGGGTCCTTCTCGTGTGTGTGTGTGTGTGTGTGTGTGTGTGTGTGTGTTTTCTGCCACAATTTCCCGGAGAGCCAAACTGGCAGTTTTTGAGACAGCCCCGGGACGCGACATCGCCCCTTCCCCAACTTTCTGACCGCCCTTCTTTCCTTTCAAGGGCCTTTCCCCCTTGGCTTCACGCGCTCTTCTGGCGCGGCCTGAAGTGGGTTGGGGAGGGATTTGCCGGGAGGAGGCCGGAGTTTTTCAAGCCCTTGCCTTGGCTTGGGATTTGGTCCCAAGAGGAGCTCATGCCATGGAGGCGGCAGGGGCCTGAGCGCCTTGCCTCCCGACGGTTTGAAGGGCAGACGCACTACGGTGCAGGGAAAGGCGGATGGCCTGAGAAGCCCTTTCAAACCCAGGCCGGCCGCCGCTTTTCGGGGTGCCAACAAGAGCGGGTTCCAGCCGAAAGCAGGCTCACGTTTTCTTTCTTATACAATTCTACCACAACAAAAATAAAGAATAAGTGTTCCCTTCAATCGGAATAGCGGTCCGGTCCAATATGTAAGCAGCATATAGCGGGATTTCTCTCGTGTAAAGTATTTGAGGAAGTCCCTTCCCCACCCATAATTTCAAGCCGCTTGCCTTGGGACTAAGGCCACTCTGGGATGCATTTCTCCAGCCGCTTGGAGACTTTCCTCTCTCAGAAAGTGAACTGAATTGGGCTACCCTGCCACCCCACTTCACCCCTTCTGAATTTATCAACTCAGAGCAATATTTAAGAAAATCCCCTTTTAAGTTTGACGATTCTGATTTCTTAGGACTCCGAATTTGTCTAGGATGAGGCTGCCAAATCCCCTGTTCACAGCTCTGAGCGCGTCGGAAGGGAGGGTTGAAATAATCCCTGCCTCTTTTATTGGGTTCATCTCTCCACGGCGTTTCACTTTGTTAGGGGGAGGGGGGGTGGCGGTGGAGGGGGGGTTATAGTGTTTCTACTTGAGGTGTTGGCCGTATCAGCAGTTAAGGTGTGCCACCCGACCTACCTCTGCGGAAAGAGAAGCAGAGCCCAAGAGGCAGCGGGTTGGAGAATGGTGAGCCCATTTCAGTTGGAAACGACCGCTTCCCCCTAAGTCAGAGGTCTCCAAACTTGGCAACTTTAAGACTTGTGGGGTTCAACTCCCGGAATTCCGAGAGTTGAACCCCACAAGTCTTAAAGTTGCCAAGTTTGGGGAGCCCTGTCCTAAGGGCTTAACCAACGTTTGAGATTGTTCCCCCTCCCCCCGGGAGTCCTGAGGTCTAAAGCAGGCAATGCCAAAGGGAGGAGAAGGGGGGGCCCTTACCTCCATCCAGCCTTTGCCAGGAGTATGGGGGGGGGGGCGCAGCTGCCAAGAGGTCGAGAGTGGCAAAGCCTCACTCGGCAGGCAGCGCCCAAAGTACCTGTGGCTGAGGCCTGTTGCGCGCACTCCCTCCCCGCCTCCCCTCCCCCTCGGTCTCTCTCTATCCCCGCAACTCCGGAGAAGAGGTGGGCCGACGGAAGGCTGGGGAAGCCGCCTTCCCCGGGAGATGGGCTGGGAACGGGGTAACCACGGAGCAACTGCGGCGCTGCGGTCTGGAGGTCGGCATGAAAGAGAAAGGAGAGGAAATGGAAACCGCCCGGGCGGCGGATCAGTCGGTAGATTATACCTGGGGAGGGAAAGACCAGGCGGGCTGGGGTAGGGAAGGGCATTGGCCTCCCCGTCTTTAACTAACCAGATTCCCTTCCTCCAGATCCTTCGCGGTTCCTCCAGCTCATCATGGAGGCGTTTCGCCCGTTTCCCAGCTCAGAGCAACGCCGCTCTCGGAAAAACCAGTCCCCCAGAAGCCGCGAAAGGACCGGCCGGCCGGATCCCAGCAAGTTATTTGCGCATTCAACCGTTTCATTTCTCGCGGTGAATTCCGACGGAAGCTGCTCTGATCCGACGGTCTTTCCTGCACCTGAGCGGTAGATCTAGCAAGAGAGTAGAACCATTTCCTTGGCTGTGAGTTGGCGGGGGAGATCGGAGGAGATTTTCCTGCCTGAAATGTGCCTGTAATTTGGGGAAGGGAAGCCCCACATTCCGGTTTCCCTCGCTCTCAAGCCTCGATCTAAACAGAGTCGCCCATCGCAGAGCGACCACAAACCTCCGACCTTGCCATAACCTTGCACCGCCCGATGTTCCTTGGACCTCAGCTCCACAGATTTGCCTACGTAGGCTGCGGAACGGCGACGCAAACCCCTGAAGGACATTCCGCTTCGATACATTTGAGGCGGTTTATTCTGGGTTGGTCTGAAAGCCTGACGGTATCTGGAGAAGGATGTAAACTGCAGAGTTGATATTCGGGATTAAGTAGGGTTTTGTGTGTGTGTTTTTGTTTTTTGTTTTGCTTCCATCCTTTCAACCCGCCACTCTTGCAGCATTTTCGGGGCCCGGGACAAGGGTTTCCCGTACCCCCAAACCTCCGGAAGAGGAAGAGTTGGCAGGCCATTTCGGTTGAAAACTAGAGAACAAAACGGATCAAGTACTTGCTCTGTCTCGCCTTAAAGAGATTTTCCTGGAAGTTGAATCCCCCCACACCCCAAGAGCGGCTGACTTCCAAGAAACTTGACTTGATGACCCTGGAAATGCCTCTCTTGGGTGTTGCTGATCTCGCGCTGAAACTCCCGAGGAACCAAACGCCTTTAGTTCTTCTCGGTTGTTTCCCTAACCGACGTTGGTTGCTGTAGACCAGAGGTCTCCAAACTTGGCAACTTTAAGACTTGTGGACTTCAACTCTCAGAATTCTCCAGTTGAAGACTTGTGGGTTTCAACTCTGGAGAATTCTGGGAGTTGAAGTCTACAAGTCATAAAGTTGCCAAGTTTGGGTACTCCTGTTGCAGACCTCCAGTCTGCAGTGAGGGGAGCAAGGACTAAACTCCTCGAGGCTATAATACAAAGGAAAATTCCTTTTCTAAGCCCTCCACCTAAACCGGTCTCTCTTTCGTACTCCCGCCACAATATATTACGGCGGTACATCATGCAGTATGAAAGGGGAAGTTTGCATTACGGTCTTAGCAATGCGTTATTGCACGAGGAGTTGCCGGCATCAAGAGTTGCAGGTTTCATTCTGTGGGTCTCTCTCAGAACAGTTCCTTGGTTTGAGTCGCGTTGTAATTTGAACGATTATTAGGCTGGCTGATCTCCACTCCTTTTGACGGTTAGCGGTAGCTTTTATCCCTTTCCTCGTAACTGCAGGATCTCACCCATCGGGACCATTTGGAGCGGGAACCAGAGGGCTACTTTAGGGACCATTCCGTTCCTAAGGAAGGCCAACCTACCTAAAAGTAGATTCTCCGTTCTGGTCCAACCCAGCAGCCTTTGGAGAAAAAAACTCCAACTACAGAACTTTTATGAGTGATTCTGCTCATTGGATTCCTCTGGCTGAGTGAGAGAACGGAGTGATTGGTCAATGTCATAGAAATCCAATGGAGTCCCCTTCTGGTCAGAACCCCCAGTCAAAATAAAGCTCGACCATTCTGGAGCAAAACAAGATGGGAAGAAGCTTTGGCTGTTTGTATTTTTTGGGGGTAGGGGAGGAATCTCGATAGAAACCGGGTTCTTCGCTTCTGCCCGGTGGGATTCCTCCAAATGCCTTCCCACTTTCTCT